GAGAGAGAGAGAGGGTTATTTCGTGAGGTGGGGTTTTAAAATTGCTCTATTATTGTCACATGTACAAGAAAAATGTAAAAGATGCTTAACTTTTATCTAAAGAGAGAGGAATGTGTAGTTATTTCTATCAATATTTGGGTCATGTGAGCTGGATTGCCTATCATCAAGGGTGTGTGCTGGATTGCCTATGATCAAGGGATAATTACACAAGGGATAATTATGCGCATTTTAGGATTTCCTTCCTATTTGTACTCTTCTGTATATGGCATGTATTGGACTCATATTTCTATGGGAGGTATTGAGAGGAGGATATAATAAAAAGGATACAACTTCCTTCACCGTTGATGTAGGCCCTTTTCTGGCCGAACCATGTTAAATCGCTCTCATTGACTTTCTTCCTCAGTCCTTAATATGGTATCAAAGCCAGGTTCCACATCCTTGAACACCGGAAATTTTTTTCGACGATTAAAAGTTCTTGTTCTGACTACCACCAAATCGCAGATTTTTCCACCAGGACTCTTTTTTTACAAATCTCGCTGTCATGTTTGAGAACTCCTCTAATTACTTTTAGAGAGAGAAAGGTTGTGTAAACGAAACTTGATCTTCTCTCGCGCTGCTCATCTTATGCTCTTCCAGAGCATCACTGAAAGTTTTTTTTTTAGGCATCAACTTGCCTCTTACATAGCTCGAATTTTTCTTTTGTGGTGGTACCTCCAATACTCATAGGCTTATTGGGTATTTTGGACTTTCTTTTCTAATCCTCTATTGGTATGATCTATTCTCATCCTCTTTATTATTAAGGATCAAGGAAGAAAGTTAAGGAGAGCGATTTAACGTGGTTCGGCCAGAAAAGGGTCTACATCCACGGTGAAAGGAGTTGTATCCTTTTTATTATATCCTCTTCTCAATACCTCCCTTACAATATATATAAATAAGAGTCAAATACATGCCATATACAGGGGAGTACAATAGGAAGGACATCCTTGAATGCGTGTAATTATCCTTTGATGATAGGCATTCCAGCACAGACCCTTGATGATAAGCAATCCAGCTCACATGACCCGTTCAACACTCCCCCTCAAGTTGGTGCATAGAGATTGAGGGTGCCCAACTTGCTAAGATCAAAGAGAAACTTGTCTTTCCCAAGAGCTTTGGTGAAGATATATGCAAACTGAATTTCTCTTGTAACATAAGGGGTACAAATAACTTTGTCTTGGACCTTTTCCCTGACAATCAACTTCAATATGTTTAGTTCTTTCATGAAAAACGAGATTAGTGGCCATGTGGATAGCAGCTTGGTTATCACAAAATAACTAAATTGGCTTAGTTGTCTTGAAGCTCAAGTCTTGGAGAAGAGATTTCAACCAAATAAGTTCACATGTGGTAGAAGCCATGGCACGGTATTCAGCCTCATCACTAGATTTGGCCACCACATTTTGTTTTTTACTTTTCCAGGTAACAAGGTTTCCGCTAACAAAGGTACAAAAACCTGTTGTAGATTTTCCATCTGAGGGATTACCTGCCCAATCAGCATCAGTATAACACTCTATATTTTCATGCCCATTTTTCTTCATCCATATTCCATGTCCTGGAGTAGATTTTAAATATCTTAAGATTCTGTCAACGGCATGCATGTGAGATGTTCTGGGAGCATGCATGAATTGACTCACCATACTCACAACATAAGTGATATTTGGCCTGATAATAGTTAAATAAATCAATTTTCCAACAATTCTTTGATATTGTGCAATGGCTTGAAGGGGTTCACCATCGTCAACAGTGATTTTATTGTTTAATTCAACGGGAGTGTCAACCGGTTTGGCACCATTTTTGCTCGTTTCCCTTAAGAGATCTAAAGCGTATTTCCTTTGAGAAAGGAAGATACCTTTTTTAGAATAAGCAATTTCGATTCCTAGAAAGTACCTTAATTTTCTCAAATCCTTAATATCAAACACATGATGAAGATATTTGTTTAATTGAGTGATCCCTTGAACATTGTTTCCGGTGACTAATGTCATCAACATATGCTAAAACAACAACAATTCCAGTTGAGTTTCTTTTAATAAACAGAGAAGAGTCTGCCGAACTCCTAATAAAGCCATTAAGTCACAGAGCAGAGCTCAACTTGGCATACCAGGCTCTAGGAGATTGCTTTGGGCCATAGATTTCCTTTTTTAATTTACATACCAGACCAAAATCTTTCCTAGGATGTCCTTGTGGAATCTCCATTAGAACTCTGATGGAATTCATTTTGGATACAGGTGCAAAGGTTTCTTTATAGTCTTCGCCATAGGTTTGGGTAAATCCCTTTGCAACCAGCCTGGTCTTATGTCTTTCAATAGTTCCATCACTCTTATATTTGATTTTATAAATCGATTTATTAACAACAACTTTCTTCCCTTGGGGTAACTTGACTAGTTCCCAAGTATGATTCTTGTCAAGTCCCATAAGTTATTCTTTTATAGCATTTTTCCAAAACGGGTATGGAAGAAGCCTCTTGGAAGTTGGTAGGTTCTAGATTAGCAGAAACAGAACGGAGAAATGAAAAATATTCTTGAGAAACATTTGAATAATCATCAAAATTTTCAATAGGATGAGTGGAAGCGTAGTAAGGATAGAAATCATCATACGTACTCGAAGGTCGAGTGTTTCGACTAGGTCGGCTAGCAGCAGGGGAAGGAGGAGCCATGAGAGACTGAATTGGGTGAGGTTCAGCTTGAGGTTGTTGAGTAATTTCAGCATCTTCACCTTCATTCTCATAGTCAGGATTGTTGTTTTCACCATTATAAGTAGTACATCAGAACTATCAATAGTGATGTTGGGCAAGATAACATTCTCCCCCTAAACCTGATTTTCCTTATTTGGAGGAAAATAAGGTTCATTTTCTCTAAAAACAACATCACGAGAATAATAACTTTTTGATTCACAACATCATAACATTTGTATGCCTTTTGAGTAGGGGCTATATCCAATGAAAACACACCTCTTTGCTCTTACACTTAATTTATCAACAGTTTGATTATGTACATAACACACACATCCAGATATTTTAAAATGTGCCAAGGAAGGTTTCTTGCCTGAGCTAGTGGGCTAATCTCAGCATTTTCATATATATATATATATATATATATATATATATATATATGAGTGTGGTTTACATAAGATTGCAACTTTAAACAATCAAATTAAAGCGCACCTCCAGATTTTATCATATATGTAATTTTGGTGCCAAAAATGCTTAGGATGGCTTGAGAATCTACTTTCATATCTAATTATAAAATTTTGAACTCCAAAAATAGTTCAAATCAAGTAAATCTATAAACACATGAAAATATTGACAATAGATGGCCTAGATTATATAGTTAATTATTGGGGATTACAGGTACCTACCCATTTTCTAAAAGAGTCAATTTTTTGAAAGTATTAGTGAGAATTGAGGCCGTGGCCTTTAACTGGGGCTCAGGTGGTACTACCACCACGACCCCAGCCCCATTCTCGAATGGATGATTGATTCATGTTGCGGAACATTGAGTTTTACTTTTCCAAAATTTGCAGGACATTATTTAAGAGTAGATAACTAGAGTTCTAATGGAACGCCTGATTGTCAGCCGGCCTCATCCATGGGGTTTGCTCATTACTTTCATTGAGCTATTGAAGGGTACTATAAGGGCCTGTTTGATAACAAGAAGTATCTTCTGGAAGTTGAGAACTTCTTAATACTATTCAAGATTTGTGTTTGATAAAAAATGGAACTTCATAACTAAACTTCAAGGCTCGGTTCATGTTCCAATGTCGCATTAAAAAAAGTTCCGACCCAAGGGTCGGAACTTAAAACTAGAACTTGTTTTATGATACCCCCCCCCCGATAACCCTAGTTCCTCTTTTCTTAAAGAAGCAGTTTGCACGCAGAGTCCACCCTTCTCCATCTCTCACAAGAGCCATCTCTGAGAAGCCCTCTCTCCGCCATCTCTCCGCCCTCTCTCACACAAAGTGCCCTCTCTGCCATCTCTCACACAAAGCGCTCTCTCTCTGCCATCTCTGAGAGGCAGTCCTAGTTCCTCTCTGAGAAGCAGTTCTCAAAGAGCCCTCTCTTCGCCATCTCTCACGCAAAGAGCTCAAAAAATCTAGTTTTTGGGGGAATCATCAGTAGGTCAAGCTCCATTCTGGCCTTTTTCGAGTCACCAACCTCCCACCGTCCATTAACAGGTATGGTTTTTTATTTTTTATTTTTTATATACCTATTTCTTTTGCTCGAAAAATTAGGGTTTCTCTGTGTGAAGATCTTTTAAGATCCTGTGATATTGGTTGGTATCGTTTTTTTAGTGCAAAAAATGCTTGATTTGGTTTATCATCTGTGGGAGAAATCCTCACATTCTTCTTTTCCCCTTTTCCTTAGGGGAAGATTGAAGCCCCTATTTTGATAGAAAAATGCACCTTTCAATTTATTTGGTTGAAAATCTATGCTTTACGGTGATTTTGATTTATTTTTATGATTTTTGCATACCATTTTGTTTAGTGGTTTTGTATCAGCCCCTTTCAATAATTGTCTGATATATGGAAAACATCCTTATGTTTGTACTTCTTTTGTGTGTATTTTTATTACCTACTGATTTGTGTTCTTTTTCCGTGCTTTTTTTGTTCTTATACAAGGGTGTTTATCTTTCGAAATTTTTATTCTAAGTTCCCTTCTTGCTCTCTATAATGGGTATTATTCGAGAAATCTGTATGGTATGTTATGCATCGATATAAAAGCCATTCAGGCTTGTCCTAACTGCTCTATATTATCTTGGACAACTGTTCCTGCTTTGTCGCAAATACATTTGGTATATTTATTGATTTACAAGGAACCTTTTTACCAGAGAAGCATAGTGTTTTCGTAGTGGTGATTTTTGTGAATGGTACGCTAAATTTTTATTGTCTGTAATACCCAAAAAAAATTGTTATCTGATGCCTTGCACCATATGCAAATCGTAATTTCAATGGTGGTCTTAGTAAATGGGGATCTCCATGCGTGTGGCCCACCATTATCTCTTTGGTATGCTTATCTCATTTTCTATTCAAATGTCAATATTTGGGCTGTAAAATTATTGTTTTTGCATCTTAGAGAGAGAGCGAGAGCACACAAATGTTGTGGCCATTATAAACTTAGCGAGAGAGAGAGAGAGAGCACACAAACGCTGTGGGCCATTATAATCTTAGCGAGTGAGAGAGAGAGAGCACACAAATGTTGTGTGCATGACTTGTGAATGACATATATTTTTGAATTATGAATGGTGTATATTTTTTAGGCTGGGATACAGATGCATCAGTGCTGAATGTAAGTAGTTTACGGGTTATTCTTAACTTCCCATGAGGTAGTTTACGGGTTATTCTTAACTTCCCAGGTGGTTATCAAACACGGAAGCCAAGAACTTCTTAACTTTCCATGGAGTTTATCAAACACATAACTTCTTCAGGCACTTCAATTTAAAGTTATTCTGGAACTTCGAATTTACCGTTCGTGAATTTGCTTCCAGTTGGTTCTAAATGTCATGGCCTTTTCTCTCTCTCCACCAATATCTCTAATATAGATCTGTCGTTAGTGAGTTGCGTTCCATTTCTCATGATTCGTTTTTGCTGCTCTCTCTAACCTTCTGCCACTCTATCATATAGATCCATTTTTGTGTGGTTTCTCCAATTATTTATATGAACCTCATATACATACTTGCTCTCTCTCATTTATACGTGGGTCACTAATTTCTCATTTATACATGGATCACTAATTTAATGGGTTGTTATGTTCACATAATCCTCGCTACAATATCTGGAGCCATCTTTTCTTAAAGATTGCACTGGAGATAGAGGGTCTTTGATTCAGTGGCGAGATCGTGATTTGTACCTCAGAACTAGGCCATGGGTGGTGGGATTATGCCTGGCTCAATACCGGAGGCCAACCGCTAACTCAACACATTATGTATCTCATTCTTCATGCCTTGGCACCATTCTTGTTTATCCCTGGGTTATAGACATTACTGATGCTATTATTGGTCATATTCTTGAAAGAAATGTGCATTGAAATGCCTTTTTTGTCAATATAATTCATGTATTCGATAATCGGTTAGCGTTTCTGAGAGAGATGCCGTGGTTGGGAGAGAGGGTGAGCAGGTTAGTTTATTCAATATTGAAACTTAAAAAGTACGCTGCTGCATGCCACCGGTTGAGAGTTTAGAGAGAGAGAGACGGCAGTTTTGTTTACTTATGTCTATGGAAAAAGTTTATATAAGGTTGCAATTTTATTTGTTCAAAAAAAAAAAGGTTGCAAGATTTATTTTGGACGTTATCTAAAAAGACGTGTCATGTATTGACATTGTTTAAAAAGATTTGTTAAATCTACAATCGATAGTGTAGAGTACTATCACCTTGTTATAAATAGATGGTAAAGTGTTGAATTGCATAGGTTATTTGATAATTTTCCTTAGATTCTAGTTTCTTTAGTTCAGAGAGGAAGAGAGTGAGAGGCTCAGTTTCTCTAATATTGAAACATTAAAGAACACTACAGTATCTGGTCAACACAATTTTCTTTCATTTGCACAGTACTAAATGCCGTTACAGTGTTTACCATCGGAGGAAAAATTTGGCACAAAAGAACCAAAATGAATATAAAGAAAGCTTGGGGGCATAAGTGAACTTAGAAGAGCCAGAGCTTCCATGGGATATTTCCAGTGGTTCTAATACTACCCGTGACGGCTTCAATTCTTGACGTCTTTCGCATGCTCCTACTTCTCTCTCTAACCCTCTTCACGTCAGCTCTCTTCTCGATTTTAGCTGTCCTCTTCTCCATGGCCTCCAATGCTTTTTGTCTCTTAATATCCAAGTTCATCTGCAATAAGCAAATAGTTATACCTCAAATACTTAAAAGTAGAGAGAGAGAGAGTCTTAAGTACGAGTTGTGTATAAGTCATACCTGAACTTTATTGAACCGGTTTCGGGCTTGAGTCTTCTTTTTACATTCCCAATCATTGATTTTATTCTCCTTTCTGTTTAATCTGCACATAAATGCTCCCAGGTTTACCATGGCTTTATGGATATTGGTTCACCCCAAGAGAGAGAGAGAGAGAGAGATTTACTTGGCGAAGATTTTCATGATTTCGTACTCCTTCCATGCACATAGTTTTATGTCCATCTGGCCGCATTCTGTGTTGTCCAATGTGCCATTCTCGGCTTTGGAATTGTGATTGTATCTCGCACTTGTACTCTCAGATGCCTCACATATGCTGTCATTGCTTGCCAAATAACCTGCAATCCGCTCATAAACATCACTTTACAAATTTCATTAAACTTTCGTTATCTACATATAATGATCCTTTATTCACTTTACATAAATGTGTTTGTCTGAGAGAGAGACCTGATGAGACCTCTAGAGAGTGGGGATTGTGAAGAAGATGGGCATCTTCAGCAGGGGCAGGCACTGGTTTTTTGTGGTGTTGTTGAGGAGTGTTGTCAAAATTGGTAGAAGGACCCCACACCCTCACGTGTGCCCTCTCCAAACTTTTCCTCAGCATCATCATCTCATCATAATCAGCATCTTCTTCTTCTTCAAAATTAAAAACAAAGTTGGCCATTTTTGATTTGCACCTCCAAATTAGATTTTGCTTTGCCTCTTCACCCTCTTCATAAACCAAAACAAAAACATATATAAGAGCTATGTCAATCACTTTTTTAGAAAGAGAGAGAGAGAGACCTCCCACCAAATCTCTTCATTGAGACAGTTTTTCCCAATATTTGCTGATGCAGAATTTCAACCATCTCTCTCCTCTCTTCTTCTTCTTCACTTCCCTCTTCTTCTTCTTCTTCACACAATTCTGGTTTCATTCCCTCAGCCATTGAAGAAGCAGGAGACTCCTACAATTGAAAATTCAGAAATCATTTACAGTTTAGTGAGAGAAAATAACCAAATTACATAAATTAATTCCATTTTATAACGAGAATTTCAGAGAGAGACAGTTGGTTTCATTATTCCATCCTATAACAGGAGCCAAGTCCATCCATTTCAGAGAGAGAAAGATATCGGTTTCATCAATCAATGACATACAGCAAGAATCAAGATCACCCTTTTTAGAGAGACAAACAGAGAAAGAGGTGGTTTCATTTTACAGTACCGAGTATTGACTGCATGGCAGGGAAAGAGAAACACCAGTTTTTCGTCTTTTGCGGTTTAAGTAAAAGTAGGGTACCGCCCTAATCCAATGTACAAGAATCACCATTAATGCCAAAGGAAATAAAACAATTCTTGTTTCTTGCAACGGAGAGAGAGAGAGAGAGAGAGAAACTTGAGTACCCAATGTACTCCAATGTACAAGAATCATCATTTAATGCCAAAGAAAGGAAAACAATTCCTGTTTCTTGGAACGGGGAGAGAGCCCAAACCATGAATTCGCCTCATGGGTGTTCTTTTCACAGTCTCAAAGAGTCTTTGAGCACAAATATCAAAAGTAAAGAACGCAGACAAGAACAAGAACTTGAGAATGGAAGAGAGAGAGAGAGAGAGAGAGAGAGAGAGAGACGT